TTCCTGATCGGATGTATATTTTCTTCTTTTTATGTTGGAAATCCTAAAATTTCGCCTTTTGATGCCTCCACTTAACATGGAAATATTAATAGGGGTTTTGCAACCAGAATAATTATATTGCAGATTTGCATTCTAGCAGCGTTTGACTGAAACATGTTATAGCTGTCAGTTATCCGAAGGGCTCAGCTCGTTTTCAGGAGATTTAATTACGGTAAAATGTTTGACCTGAGTCACTGAAATGAGTTGGATTAGTTATCTACACTCATCATGTGTGAACTCCAATATGTCATTATTTTATTCCTTTTTTTCCCCTTTCCAGATGTGTTTAAATTATGTCAGAATGCAGTTCTATACCATTTGTTTATTCCATTCCATTTGTTTAGGTAAACAACAATATGTTTGCACACATGTAATTCTTTTTATTATGTCGCAGTTAAAAGCATTTATGTGATTGACTTTAAGGGGGAGATGTGCTCTTTAAGTTTGTAAAATGCAGCATCGTATCTTAGAAGGGGTTAAACTCTTAGAGCCAGAAACCAAACGAATGCACCGAATTCTTGGCAATTCTCTTTTCCCCAGTGCAATGTAGCTACATGAACATGTAAACTGTCTGAGTTTTGCAGACATTGCTGCAGGGCAGAGGGAATTACACTGTCACACAGAGGATATGGAGCTGCCGTGATATCCTCTTGGCACATAGTTGAAGACCATCCAGGTGGAAACTGGTATGCTCTGCCAGGAGCAATGAGAAGAGTGAGGTAGCTGCGTGGGAGGTGCTCATCTGCATGGGCAAGCAATGTCTTTCATGTCATGTGTAACACTACTTTATCTGATGTAACTATCAAAAATATCTAAGGACTATATGGTTAGATGTGTGGGGGGTGGTAGTGTTTTGGAAGGTTCGCTGCATGTGAAGGTAAGGTTGTAAACACATCTATCAGGATGGTTTATATTTGGGATATTGAGGGTAATTAGTCTATTCATCCTCATTGTCTCCTTACCGGGGCGACAGTTGCGTTGGATGTAGGAGTTTGCCCTGAAATCGAAGGGTTGACGGTTCAAGCCCCGACTCCGACTTTCATTGTCGTTGTGTCCTTGGGCAAGACACTTCACCTGCATTGTCTACTGATGGTGGTCAGAGGGCCCGGTGGCGCCAGTGTACGGCAGCCTCGCTTCTGTCAGTGAGCCCCAGGGCAGCTGTGGCTACAATGTAGCTTGCCACCATCAGTGTGTGAGTGTGTGTGTGAATGGGTGAATGAATGTAGTGTAAAGCGCTTTGGTCAAGCCCCTTGACTTGAATAACGGCGCTATATAAGTACATGACATTTACCATTTACTTTACACTTTAACCTAAAATTAAGTATAAATCATGTTTTGATAGATTGATTGACTTAATTGATCTCACTGTGGAGAAATGGACTCGTTACATCAGCTCAAATATTCAAAGAAGAAGAATGTGCATGGGATGTATACAGTATATACATTACATCCACATATGATAGCATTTCTTTTTTTATGAGAATGACTCAAACAGACCTTTAAAAAAATCATAAAAAAGGCAGAGGCAGTTGTATGTGTGTGTGTGTTTTTTTTTTCTAAGAATTTCTTAGTCTTTTTTGAATAATTATGTTGTGTTTCACAGTTGGACTGATGGATTTCCCTCCTTTAGGTTTGAAATACATTTACCTGAATTGTTAATATCTAAAATTCAAATCACGTTTGTTATCATAATTGCATATCCAGGTTTTTATCTTTTTCTTTGGAAACGTTTAAACTTAAAATTATTTGTATATGTTGAAGCTGAGAAAGCTAGTAAAAATGCTATCGTTGGAGAAGCCAATCCAATTTTATTTTCAAATAATCTATGCAAATGGAATGACTTAATAAACACAATAAAAGTTTAAAAAAAGAAGAAGATAATTTTTAAATTTTCCAAGCACAGTAAACTGAGGCGTCTGGTCATCTCACTCAAACCTTTTGACATTCCGCCTTGATGCAAACCATTGCCAGACCTCCAGAAGCCATTAGGTCTGAGGCAGAATTGGAGGATTTCTGCAATGGCTTCACTTTTTTTTCTCTCCCCCAAACATTTCTAAAACCCACAGTGAAGTTCTTGAAAATGTCTGCTCTTATTGCTAATGGCATTACTTAAAAAGAGCTGCTGAGTAAAAACAAAAACCAAAGATTCAACTGCCAGAAGTTAAAACTACAGCTCCAAAAATCACTGTAGATGATTTTTTTTGTTGAACATCTTGAAGAAATATCAAAGTTATTCATGAAGGAATCCACTCTTTAATCACAAACAGCCCTCTTTAACTCTATATAGCCTAAAACCCGGTATATAGTTATAGCCAACTTGTACACAGACACGCCTGATTGCTGTGACAAATTTCTCCTAGATATAAAGATATGTGGCCAATAGAGCTTGGAAACCAGGTGAGCGAATGCCTCCAGCCCACTTGGGGATGATTAGAATTGGACTACTATCTGTAACATCCTTCAAGTGAGAGAAGGCGTCATGCTTCAGGGGTTCCTGAACCACCCTGACTAATGCTTTCTACTCCTTCAATCTGAATGCTATTAATCCATCTTCACATCAATTCCAGTTGCAACCCATATAGATGAAAAAAAAAACATTTGGTCAAGCATTTAGAATCCATGTTTCAAATAAGCTAAATGCGTCATCCACATTTTCATTAGAGGAATAAAAAAAACAAAAAACAGTTGCTTTATTTGGAGAGAATTTCAGTGAGGTCCTTTGCTCGCGGTTGTTGTTTTCAGTTGGTCGGTACACATGGGCCCCCCATAATTATTCACGGGATGAAAAAGTGATCTGCTTCTGGTTATACTGCTTGTATAATCATTGATTCATCACACCATGTGTGTTTACACAAATTATTTGAGTGTTGTCATGTCTGGATGCTGTTTAGATCATTTGATCCTTCTTCACGTTCAACGCAGACCCTAGAAGCTGAGTGTAGAAGTGGGTTTTCTTTTGTCCAGATGTTCTATTGTTTTTTACTCTTATTGGGACCCCCTTTTAAATGAAAGCAAAAACAAACAATAGAAAAATGAAGCAGCAATAATATTTTGGTTATCTTTAGTTACCTGTCATAAATAACATGAAATAGTGTAATAATGCTAAGACAGTCAGTCTGTCTGCAAATATAAATCAAATAAGGTGTTTAGATCTGAGCAGCTGCTACTTCATTAGGAACTCTCATTACTAACTCGTTTGAGTTATCGCCACAGACATGTCAAAGGCTTACTCGTTACTGCTGTGTGCTACAATAAGCAGTATTACTGTTCCATTGGTGTGCTAATCGCCGCGAATGACAGACGAATCCCCTAGGCTGTCTGTGCCACATGAGACGGTCTTCCACAGCTTCCTGTGATCTGATTTACCCTCCTCAAAGAGCTGTGCAGCATCAGAACAGAAAGGAATACTAAAGCTGTATTGTTTAACAATCCATTTTAGCTGGAATTGATCAACTTTACCACAATAAACAAAACTCGGTCATTCAGTGCCAACAAAAATGACTTTGATGTTCTACTTCATCAAGGTACATGTAATAATCAGCATGCTGGTTCTAAGATCAATGTTATACCTCACCACTTAATGTAATGCAATTTATTTAAATTACACTTGCCCATTCTTTTAGAGCATCATTTTTATTTTATTATATTTATTTTAACCACATGTTTGGGATACAAAATCCTGATGATATTTTTTTGTAGTTCCATGCTGCGACGAGACATGGGCTGATGTAAGATTCCTGATAACTTCAATTAAAAGTATCATGATGTAAAGTGACATTTAAATTAGGACCGAAAGAGTTAATCAGATAAACTAATTTAGAAATCGATTAATCGTTAATTGGAGTATAGAGACTCTAAAACATAACTTTGGCTGACAGTGCAACTCACTTAGTTAAGTAATTTTACCAAGATTGTAAAAAAAAGAAATCAATGTCAATATCCTCTATCCAGAATTCCTCAAGTGGAAAAGTTTGAGTTTCACCTGGTTTACTTTCGTAAAAATATTTATTTAAAGAATCTTTGGCTATCTGATTATTAATAGATTAATAGAAAAAAAATATTCAACTGATTAATCCATTTGCAAAATAATTAGTTAGTTCCAGCCCTAATTTAAATCTAAAGTTTTATGACAAAATCTATGTTTTATTGAAACAGAAAAGTAATAAACCTGGGTATATACTATATATGCTGACCCATGTCGAACTGCAACTCTACCTTTATCCTAAATCAAACATAATGGTAATTAAAATTATTTTATTGCAGTTTTCACCTTATTTGCAAAGGAAAACAGAAACTTTATCAAGAACAGAATTCTTCCCTCGAGAATCTTTCCTCTCTCTCGAACTTTTCTGTCGAGGCTGAGCTTGTTAGTGTGAACCAAGCAACCTGGCCACCCAGCTCCAGTGTCCTCGTCTGTCCCCGTCAAGCCTCCCCTCCCCTCTGCTTCCCTCCTGTGGTGCCCTCTCTGAGGGCCAGCTCCCTGAACCCAAACAACAGCACCATTTGTTCTGCCAGGGCTGGGAATGTACTCAACCATCTTTCACCGCTTCTCTGCCAACCCTTAGATGCCAAACCTGTGGGCCCGAATGTTTTCACCCCCTTTTTTTTTTGCCGTGTTTGTATTTATATAAAGGAAGTGTCACTAAGAGATTTAGCATGGGTTTATTCGATAGCGGTATTGTCATGTTTACGTTTGAATAGAACAGTTTCGCTTGAATTGATATCTATGACTTTGATTTATACCATCCAAAAGATCTATAAAACATTGTTAAACTATTCATCTCTGCTTTCACTTTACAAAGTGGAAAGTTTATACAAAGTAAGAATATATATCTTTTTTTATTGTGTTTTTTTTTTTTTTTGCAAATTCTTTAGTGTAAATATATTAAAAGCATGCAATCATTTCTACAATTTCAAGGGAAAAGATGTCAACATTTATATTTATATCCAAATTATTCTACACTTTACCAATGCTTCACAACAACATTCTTTATTGCTTTAATTGTTACACTTCTGTTATTTTAACTTGAGCCAACAAAAAACAAACAATCAGCTATTTGCATTTAGGCTCCCAGTGCTCATTGGAGACAAACAGGCCATGGATGAGATGTAAATGCCTCATTGCCCAGCGGCCCTCCATCACTGTTGAGTGAGAGACGGATGGGTGAGATTATGTAAACACTGGGTAGGGGTCTAAGCTACTTCTCGCGGTGTTGAACCAGCGTGGAGCTCTTCAGACTGCTGTTGAAGGACTTAAAGAAAACAAAAGTCTCTGATGGCAATCATTCAGTCCTGGAGATCCGGTTGTAGCTGTCACTTCAAATGGTTCGGGATGATGAGTTGTTCTGTCAGAAAAACAGGAGTTGAATCAACAGCGGATAAGGATTTTCACACATTTATCCAGTTAGGTTTAAAGGAAAAGTCCAGTCAGTAAGGAATAACCAAGGGGTCATTATTTATACCTAAAACTAATACGTTTGTGGTGATTTAATAAATTTAGCGTTAATCATTAAAAAAATAAAAACAATATTTTTCATCTTGATCACTCAGTCCAGTACTGGCCAATCTTCCGGCAGTTACGTCACGGTGCAGTAAGCCTGGCGCCATTCTCCCCGCTTTACAAGCAAAATCAATGGGAACTACTAGATCTGCAATCAAAAACAATTATTTTAGATTTCAAGAGGACCTCACCATTGAAATTTGTTTAAGTTATAGTTAAACTGACAATGCCAGCGTGCATGGCATTTGGATGTTGTAATACATCGGGTAAAAGTGAAAAAAAAATTTTACTTGTTTCACCTTTTCAATTCATGATCCACCACGGACGGGTTCGTCATTGGATTGCCAACTTGAAGAGGGAAGATTTGACATCGAACTTCTGGCCAGAGGAAAAACATATCATCAATCTGTTATTCTCTGCTTTGAATAGTTCACGGGTTGACGCCATCATGGATAATAGCCTTTTTGACAAACACCAGATACAGCACTGGGACTTGCTCAACAGCCGATACCGCACTGTGACGTTACAAACCGGTAGGTGGCAGTAATGTTCTTTGACAAACATGGATGACTCCAGTAAAGCACATTCAAATGAAAATGACTAAATGAAAACACTTATAATTTAATGAAAAGTATGTAATAATTTCATACTTAAGGTACTTTCACAAGTTTGTATTCTGAGAGATTCTCAGAGATCCAATATGAAACTGGGTTATGTTCAGCTTCACCATTCAAAGACTCTAAAATCTAATCTGATCCCTGAACACGCTACCAGGGCACTGGTACTTACATTTGGACATACTATTATTTCTTTAATATCAGTACTGGTGAAGTGTTAGGTGAGAAAATTAGGTTGGAAAAAGCAGAGAGACGCAAAAAGCCGTATGAAAAGAAGAATACTTTCTAAGGCCTTTAGACGTCCCCAAAAAAATATAAAAATCCACTGGACTTTGTTTGAAGTTCGAAGACGTTTCGCTTCCCATCTACGAAGCTTTTTCAGTTCAAAATATGTTTTAATTAGTTTTGATTTGTTTCAACATTTCAATTTGTTTCATTTTGAATTGAAAAAGCTTCATAGATGCAAAGCTTGGATGAGTTGTTTTTAATATTCTTTTTTTGGAATGACTATTACCTGGATGACAGAGAATCTTCACCAGCGCCTTTAGACGTCATTTACTCTGGATGGTAAGTGCAACATTTTCAGGAGATACCAGAAAGGGTGGATGAAGTACAGCTATTTCATCCTTAATGAACTATGCTGGTTTAGTAAATATGAGAATCCAGACATAAGTCCTGGCTTTAATAATGCTGGCCTGCTTCTCGCTGATTTAACATGCTTAAGCCAGTTATAAGTGTTTTTTGTTTGGTTTGTTTTGTTTCTTAAACCCTGTTATACAGCATTTGCTCTCATGCTCCCATTACCATTGGTCACACTATCTTTTCCCATTATCAAAAATTTACCAAAATCCAGAGATTGAAAAGACAATTTAGCTGGAAAAAATCTTCTTAATACAATTCTGTTGTTTTTGTTTTCTATAAAATAGTCATTCAGACCAGACAAGCTAATTGTGTCATTCCATGTGACTAACATGACAACAGAGAGGCGGCTTAGGAGGGCTTCCTTGGCTGAGCAGAAAGAATGTAGATCAAGGAGTAATCGGCTCTATCTGCGACATTAGCCATGAAGGAAGTCATAGAGGATGTACCCTGGCTTTACAACTCAGAGGGGATTTAACTGGTGCTCTTCTGTTTCTGTAAATTACTCATTTCACTGAATTTGTTTTTGTTTCTTATCTAGCATTTGATTTGGCCATGGATTTTTATGACGCATACTAAACTAATGCGTTTCAAATGTCTCAAAACAAGTCTGCAATTTATTTCTTGTAACATCTGAGTCATTAAGCTAAAGTTTTATCTTAGATCCATTTAATATCTATTTATCAAAATCACATCCAGATAAACAATCTGCACGTACTTAAAAAAAAAAAAAAAAAAAACAACAAAAAACTTTATGCACAAAACTTTTTTTTTGTGTATAAATAGAAATATATCTTGTAAACAACTCCGCCATCTGATCCCTGTACCCCCTCTCTTTCCAATTTTAGAACGGAGTGGGCCTTTAATAGGGATCTTCCTGCTGGCATGTTCAGACTTGTTGTATACTTTTGCCCATGCCCCTCGTAAATCACAGACATGTCTTTGAAGGCATATGGTCATCTTTCAAGCAAACTGGGAAATGCAATTCTCTGGGTCTTGTTCTTGTCAACAGTTACCATGACATATATCTTAATATAGTTACGAATCCGCTGCCTGTGGCTTTTTCTGTAGTCATGATGCCATGAGAACAAGATGCATGTCCATGACCCCTGTGCCCCATCCTTGTGTCGCCCCTGCATTTATCTGCAGCTGAACCAGAGAGGAGAGGGTGCATTTTTCAGTATTTCCATGACATGAGACGCTGTGCTGACATTTGCGTATTTATTGATAGCTCATTTATAAAAAAAAAACACAATTAAAATGGGAAAAAATAGTCCTGAGATGTCATAAAGTTTAACAGGAATAGCAGTGCTGCATGCTTTCAACCAATACTTTATGTTTTGCTTTCACTATTTATGCCATATCATTTCCCTGTTATGTACTCTGAATACATCACATAAAGATTTTTTACATTGTTTTTTAAGATGGAGGTGGTGTAATGGTGACTGGCAGTAGCGGGAGGGAGTTTATATTATGATTTTTTCTGAAAAAAGAAAATGTATCCACTTTGATATCTGGTTAATATTAAAGAAAGAACTATAAGCTGTGTTTTGATTTGTTCTAACTTAAATGTGCTCCTAGACATGCTGAGATGTTTCATTCTTCCGTGCAGTTCGTCGCTCACTGCAGACAGTATTGTGTGGGACTTGGCAGACACCCCCTGAAGCGTCTTTTGAAAAAGGTTACCTTGTTTGCCCCTTGAGCTATTTTCGCCTCTACCTTTCTGCCTGGACTTGCCGAACTGTGAAAAAGAAAAAAAAAAAAAAAATCCTCACAAGCCTCTCCTCCCCGAGTCTCCCTCCCCTTCACTTTCGGTCATGACATCACAATGGTCAGGTATCAAAACAGTAGAAGGGCTGTCTGGTTGATAGCATTATTCACACACCTGCTTTGAGGTATGTTCCTAAATATTAACTCCGATAGATCGGACACATAGAGGAGGATTATTTGAGCCAGGAAGGGTTACACCTCAGCTTTAGTGCTTCTATTATATTAAATACTTATCTTATTTAATAATTTAGTCCTAAGACAAAAGCTGCAGAAAAGACTTGTTAGTTTTAATAAAATGTTAGCCACCCTAAAAACAGGTACTGTTTTATGTATTATGAAAAGAAAAACCCTGTAAATTCTAATTAAAATATTTTAGATTATAGAATAGCATTCTCCAAAAGAAACGTCAGCTGCTGCCATTATCCATTTTTTATTGGTCCAAATTTGGTTAAAAAACAATAGTCTTTACAGAGGCCTAATCATTTTAAACCTATAAAAGAAAATGAAAAAAAAAAAAAAACATATTTTCATGTTACTTCAATTGTGTTAATTTATGTAGTGCCCTCTACAGAAATCCCTCACACCGAGCATGGATGCTGCAACAATGGAAAGAAAAGACTCCCTTTTAACAAGAAGAAACCTCCAGCAGAACCAGGCCTAGTGTTAGCCGCCTGCCAAAGCCCAATAGGGGTTCAATGAGAGAGAGGCAGGCATACAAAACAAATATAATAGCACTGATTAATGTGTACTCTCTCTCGGTTTTAAAAGGTAATGGTAAACTAGGTCTAAAGATGGCTGTGGGAAATTACTAGTCCACTACTTTTTCATCCACTAGACGAGAGTTTGACACTCATCTAAAATGGCATAATCACTATATAGGGCCCTATATATTAATCACTATATAAGGTCCTACATAGTGATTAGCGTGAAAATTCGGACAGCCATGTGTCTGCTTCATGGACTAAAACTGCCAGCATAAAGAAATATTCTCCAAGTGTTTGTCTTTATAGTACTTACTATTTCCTTTTTGAGCTTCAAAAGGATTTTTACAACAGTCAAAATCTTACCTTTGGGAATTTACCAACTCCCAACAATAAATCTTGCCAGAAGCCAACAGATAAGTTTGTCTTGATACAGATATGTTTCGGACCAATGAAATGCAGTGACGTGTATGAAATCAATGGGTCAACTAGACGCAGAAGGCTGAAGCAAAACACCGATAGCTTTCCTGGTTTTAGCTGGAACACCCTCTTTTTTTCTTTTTGAAAAACGAGCAAGTGTATGTGATTTTTGTCTTTGTGAATGTAAAGCTGTTTACGCGTTTCTCTAAACTGAATTTTTTTAAGCTTGATCAGTTGCTCCACCAGATGTAAAACAAATTAAGAATGTGATATGTCAACAGCTACTACTGCTGCTGTGATGGCTAAAATTTGGCATTGGGAGGCAGGTACCCAATAAGCTAGTGAATGTCCCTCTCTTTTGCGAACAATTTCTACATGAGGCTTTCCGGATTGATACCGTATATGATTCAAATTGAACTACATGTTTCAATCTGGTTTATGCTTGGTTAGGCGAAAATTAGCAGACATACACATTGTGGTACCGCATCTCCATCTGTTGGCAGTACATACATACTCACGCATCCATCTAAGTACTACTAATGTCTTATCTTTCTTGGCATTCAATTTTCCTTTTTGTTTGTTTTTTTCCATACGTCCACTGGCAAATCTGCAATATCATACCTCTACTGTAGTCTTGTAATGGTTAATACAGACAACACTTAAGTCTATTAACATATAGAGCAAAAGCAAAGTTAAAAGCAGAAATAAAATAATTCAACAGAGCACTTTAATCTTAAAGCCCACCAGAGTTACAAACAAAGGCTTTACTCTTGGTATAGTCAATTTGTGAAGTGATAGTGTGTGATTTAATCCCTTGTTTAGCATTTGTTGAGTATTTTCATAAAACACTTTTAAAGAGTTTGACTTTGCCCAAACTTTGCTCTCAATGAAGAGGTTTTAAGTAGTAGTACTTAAATGGAGAAATAGAAATATATATATACATATATGTTTTACTAGAAGAAAGACTTGGTTGGATTGGTAGAAATAGACACGTTGTTGCTCTGAGCATTCTAACTGTCAAGTGTTAAACAGATTAACAGCCATGGGGAAGAAACTGCCTTGGTCATGGCTGGTGTTTATAGATCTCTGTGATGCTAAACTAAAGGTAAAAGTCTGAACAGTGTGTGTCCAGGATGTGTTGGATCTGCAAGAATGTGAGCTGTCCTTTCCTTGACCTTAGACCTTGTACAAATCTTAGATTGACAGAAAGGGAAGCTATTGAGGTCATTTT